ATAGGACTACAAATATAAATTACAATGAAAAAGCTCTGACACATTCTTGCCTTGATTTCAGTAAATACATGATTTCATAAATTCATTCTACCAAATCTGGACCCAGCAAAACATAATGCAGAAAATGACTTATTTCATAATTCCCTTTAAAAGCGTAAAAGGAAATACGCTTAATATCTGATTTTTTCCTTATCTGGAGTTAACTGTGGCATAACATAATAGACGGTTTTATTGTCTTTAAGTTTCTAATTGTAGTAATTTCCCTTTTTATTTTCTGTTTTTCATTTTGTTTATGATAATAAGTGGTTTCACCATTTTTATATTATATAGGTATAAATATTGTTCATTAACACCTTGGGATATTGAAAATTAAAGTTATGTAAAAAGAAACTACATTCCTCTATGTTCTCCAGTTAAGAATGAAATAGCAGCTTATTTTTGTTTATACACATACATGCATATCTGATTAATATTTTAATCTGAATAAATAGAACCAAAAACATTAATAATCATATATTTTATCTTGATCATGAATATTCATAATTGTGCCACAGATTTGTGTGTAAACTCTTTAGGTATGTTGTATACTTTATCATCTCCATTACAGTTACAGTTTGGGAATAAAAAGGCTGTTTTGAGAAAACATACTTGGCCTCCATGCTTGTCATATTAAGACAGTAGGTTTAGGAACAAACATATACTCATCTTGCATATTACAATTAACTATTTCAGTGCATTCTTATTATAATGATTGGTTGTATTTTAAAAAAGAAACTCTTGACTTAAAACTTTGGTAGAAAATAAATAGTTAAACATATAATTCAGACCCATCATAATGACTAATCCAGACATAATGCCAAATCTTAATATATTCGGATTGAGTTGAGTTTGAGTTTGAGTTTATTGGGATTTATAGGCCGCCCTTTTCCCTGAGGGGACTCAGGGCGGCTTACAACCACAAGGGAGGGGGGTGCAATGTCAAAAAAAACAAAACAAAATGTGAAAAAAGAAAAATAGTAAAAACACAACTTTCGTTCAGCAATCAAACACTCGGGCGGGTGAATTGGGAACCTATCCCCAGGCCTGCTGGGAGAGCCAGATCTTGAGGGCTGCGCGGAAGGTCTGGATGGTGGTGAGGGTACGGATCTCAACGGGGAGATCGTTCCACAGGGTCGGAGCTGCAACAGAAAAGGCTCTCCTCCGTGTAGTCGCCAGTCGGCATTGACTGGCAGATGGGATTCGGAGGAGGCCCAGTCTGTGCGATCTAATTGGTCGTAGGGAGGTGATCGGCAGAAGGCGGTCTCTCAAGTACCCAGATCCACTACCATGGAGTGCTTTAAAGGTGGTCATCAGTACCCTGAAGCGCACCCGGAGACCAACAGGTAGCCAGTGCAGCTCGCGGAGGACGGGTGTAACGTGGGCGAACCGCGGTGCGCCCACTATCACTCGCGCGGCTGCATTCTGGACTAGCTGTAGTCGCCGGATGCACTTCAAGGGCAACCCCATGTAGAGCCCATTGCAGTATTCCAGCCTAGAGATCACAAGGGCTCGAGTGACTGTTGTGAGTGCCTCCCGATCTAGGTAGGGCCGCAACTGGCGGACCAGGCGAACCTGGGCAAATGCCCCCCTGGTCACAGCTGACAGCTGGTGGTCAAAAGTCAGCTGTGGGTCCAGGAGGACTCCTAAGTTGCGGACCCTATCTGAGGGGTATAGAATTTGACCCCCCAGCCTAAGCGTTGGTACATTAGCCAAATTATTGGGAGGGAAGCACAACAGCCACTCGGTCTTGTCCGGGTTGAGTACCAGTTTGTTAGCGCTCATCCAGTTCTTAACGGCCTCTAGACCCTGGTTCATCACGTCCACCGCTTCATTGAGTTGGCACGGGGCGGACAGATACAGCTGCGTATCATCCGCATATTGGTGGTATTTTATCCCGTGCCTCCGAATGATCTCGCCCAGCGGTTTCATGTATATGTTAAATAGTAGGGGGGATAAGACCGAGCCCTGCGGCACCCCACATGTTAGGGGCCTCAGGGACGATCTCTGCCCCCCGACCAACACCGACTGCGACCTGTCCGAGAGGTAGGAGGAGAACCACCGTAAAACAGTGCCTCCCACTCCCACCTCCCGCAGTCGTCGCAGAAGGATACCATGGTCGATGGTATCGAAAGCCGCTGAGAGGTCAAGGAGAACCAGGATGGACGCATGGCCTCCATCTCTGGCCCTCCAGAGATCATCGGTCAATGCGACCAAAGCGGTTTCTGTGCTGTAACCAGGTCTGAAGCCAGACTGGAAGGGGTCAAGATAGCTAGCTTCCTCCAAGGCCCGTTGAAGCTGGAAGGCCACCACCTTCTCGACAACCTTCCCAATAAAGGGGAGGTTGGAGACAGGACGAAAGTTGTTTAAAATGGCTGGATCCAAGGATGGTTTCTTCAAGAGGGGTCTCACCACCGCCGTTTTAAGTACGGCGGGATTGATTTTGGTTTCACACATTCTGTAATCTCAGACAATATGTTTCTGTAAATGAAACCATGGTTAACTAGAATGCAAGAGTGGTGAACAGAACAGGGAATAAAGTTAGGAACAGAAGTAAAAAAAAGTGCTGATTTTAAAGTAGGATTATGGTATTGTTGATGATATAGCATTATTCACAATAATCTACCTTTTAAATTATATTGTAAAAAGATATATTGTTGCTGATAAAAATAGAGGAGGGAGAAAACTAAAAGAGATCAATAATAGAATTTCTAAAAGATTGCACAGTAAAGTGCAATTGTTTAAATGTGTTTTTATAATTCAGATGTGAATACTTTTATTCGATCATGTTGATATGACAGGGATAACAATCATTCTGAACGCTCCTAGAATATTCATTGTTAACAGCACAAATCAGCAGATATGTGTAAAGGGGTATAAACATTTTTGTTACTTCTTCTTAAACCATTGGATTAAAGTGGAGTAATACATTTGTTTTCTGTTTCCCCACCAAACAGCTGACTTTATAAATTAACATTTGTAGTGTTCTATTCTACTACATTGTTTATTTTCTGATCAGCAGAGTCTTATCTTGAATTGAATTATACTTGAATTGCTTGTTACGTAAATGTTTAATGAATTATTAGAATTAGATGAATATTATTTGCTATGTATATATACATAATATAATTAAAAGATATATTTAAACATATAGCCAAACACTCCCATAACTCCTGAGCATGCTGATCATTTTTATTAAGAGTATAACCTATATACTCTGTATAAACTTCTAAATCCAGACATTCTAAATTGTCTGTGCCAATTTTTGTTTTTTAAAGTTTCTTCTTAACAACCATATATTTTCAAATGAAAAATATTTTATTATTCCAATAAAATGTAAAATATCACTCTTTGCTAAGACAGAAATATTTTTATTACAGAAAGAGCATCTAAATTTGAATGTGCCCATCCGATTTATCAAAATAATAGTTTATTTTCTAATATAAATGGCTATGCCATCACGATCCATATTTGATTTTGAAATTGTAATATGCCCTATAAAGGTTCTTCCCTGAACAGTTAAGCCATCTTTATGTGAATTTTATAATTATTTTAGACCAAGTAGAGGCCAGTGGTACAGGGAGTGTGTTGCTATTGGAGACTGAGGTTCAAATGCCAAGTTCATATTTGTTTATGTTTTTTTTCCTGCTGCACAGAAAAAAATATGAGCTAGTTATAAGCCTGAATAGGCCAGACATGAGTGTGGAATTGTTGTAATAATTTGTTTTCAATTGTAACAAAATGTTAGAATAGTAAATGTGATAGTTTTACTACTAGGGCCACATCTGCTCCCAATTTAAATGCAGTTCTAGGGTTGATAACCTCACTCAATAATTGTATATCCTGTAGATGTTTGTCAAATGAAATAAATTTATACTAAATACTTCAGCTTTTGGTAAAGGGAAACTTAAACACTGAAAGCACCAGATAATATGTCTACCGGGGTTTATTTATTTATTTATTTTCCATCTTTATTATATTTACAAATAAGTCACAAAGGCAAACATATCCAACATCTTCCACCTCCTATTTTGCCCATATCAAGCACCCTATGAGGTGGATTGGGAAGATAAAGCAAAGTGTATTTAATTATTTTTTATAAGAAAATTTAAGTATTATAATATATTGATAAGGTTATTTCCACTGAATTTGGTTGATTGTTCCTGAAATGCACCTAACCTTATTGGGAAGATATCGGGTGTATTACTTTACTTAGAGTAAAATCGCTGGATTGTTGTTGTTTTTAAATATTTTTTATTGATTGCCACATCACTCGTACAATAACAGATTGTTCTCATTTGCACAGAAAAAAGAGACATAAAAAGTTGCTTTTTAAAAATAGTTTAATTTTTCACTTCAGAGTATTTATCAAAATGAATTTGAAAAAAAGCAGATTATACCTTTAATAATCATGGATTACTCTGGCTGCTTAAATTATCACCATTGAGAAAAAAGAGCAAGAAAGTAGAATTATTTCCTAGACCGGGGTTGACATACATTTTGGTGATAAGCCTAATAGCAACAAAAAAAAAAAAAACCAAATACAAAAAAATCAAATATGTAAATACAAATAGTTTAACCTGCGTCATATTCCATTTATGATTTTCCTACTCTATTGATCTTGCTGGAATTTACTGGAGTATTCATGCACAAAACAGTCCCAGTTTACATCATTTGCTAAGATTGAAAAACATTTAAATGACAAGATAGGTTGCCTTAGATTATCTTTTAGAGCAGTGCTTCTCAACCTTGGCAACCCTAAGACTTGTGGTCTTCAACTCCCATAATTTCTCAGCCATCATATGGAATGGAGAATTCTGGGAATTGAAGTCCATACCACAGTCTTAAAAATGGCAAGGTTGAGAAACACTGCTTTAGAGAGGAAGTGTTATTCAGAATACACTTTTTCATATTTGTTAAACTGAATATTTCTCTAATACCGAATGTCTGCATTTCTTTTCCAGTTATTTATGGTGGACAATGGAGCAGATGATTGGAGAATAGCCATGACTTATGAGCGCATTTTTTTCATCTGCTTGGAAATTTTGGTATGTGCTATTCATCCTATCCCTGGCAACTACACTTTTACATGGACAGCTCGTCTTGCCTTCTCCTATACCCCATCTACAACAATAGCTGATGTGGATATAATTTTATCCATACCTATGTTCCTGAGACTTTATCTTATTGCCAGAGTTATGCTTTTGCATAGCAAACTTTTCACTGATGCCTCATCCAGAAGCATTGGAGCACTAAACAAGATCAACTTCAATACACGTTTTGTTATGAAAACCTTAATGACAATATGCCCGGGAACTGTACTCTTGGTTTTTAGTATCTCCTTATGGATAATTGCTGCATGGACTGTCAGAGCTTGTGAAAGGTAAGCTGCCATAAAGTATACTTTATGATTGGTTCAGTGATATTTTGTACACATTTTGCTATCACCACTGCTTATTAATTTGGGTATTCCCTTCTATGGATGTTAATTATTTTTTGGTTCATAACTTTTTGGTTCCTTATAGTTTTAATGTCTTTAAACATTTGAAAGAGAAGATTAAATTGTAATTTCCTCTTGCTATAGGATCATTTACTGAATGTAATTTATTTCACTTTATTTCAGTTGAACTAGTATTTAATTCTTCAGAATCTAGATACATTTTATTACAACTTAACCTGAGGGCAACATTATACAAGTGGAACTGGAATGCAGCTCAAACAGGGAGAGGTCCTTGAGTTGTCCTCTTCCTATAGATTATGGGGACATAAAGCATTGTGCTGAAAAAGGGTTGCTCTGTGTGTGTGTGTGTGTGTGTGTGTGTGTGTTGCAGTTATTAATATATTAAATCATGGAGAAACATTGTCACTAAAGGATAGCATGTTCTAGGAACAAATCTTTCACAGAACTGCATGGAGGGTCCAAATGAAGTCACCTATCTGTAAAACTTTGTAAGATTTTTCCCACTGTTTCTTCCACTGTTTTCTTAATCAGAAAATAATGTTCAAAACTGGAATGATGGGGTAATTGAACTAAAGACTGATAAGAGATATCATATTTCAAGCACCCATTATTTATTATATTTTTTGACAAACCAGTAAATGGCTGCAGTCATTGACTCTGTTCAACTTTTTTATTGCTATGGCATTTATATTTATCAAGAATAAATAAAACATCATTAAAAAAGGATTTAGAAGATAGTCTTAGTATCCAAAATTGGACAGAAAAAGAAGACAAAATCAAACATGGAACAATTTTCATTGTTACAACCATGGACCAGCATGAAATTAAGTTCCCACTGACAGGGAATATAATAGCAGTCTTTAAATATTTGAAGGGTTGTCATAAAGAAGCCCAAAATCTATTCTCTACCAATCCAGTAAGCAGGACCAGGAAGAATGGATTGTAGTTATGGGAAGATTCTGTTTGAATATTAAGCAAGAATGTGTAACAGAACAGTTGACAATAGACAATTACCAAGAGATTAGCAAGGTCCTTTATAATGAATGTGTTCAAGTACAGGTCAGATAGCAACACACTGAGGACATCTTAATTTTCTTCAGCATGGGTGGATGACTTATTGCTTCCCTTCAGTCCTGTGATGTATATTGGTGATCCCAGTGGACAAATGAGTAGGAATCAGTTGATTCTATGTAATTCTATGAGTTTTCTCCCTTGTTTATAGCATGAATATTGTTGGAATGAATGTTCCTGGCGTTCCTTTTTATAAAAAAGATTGCTATAGTCCATTATATTTCTTTTGCTGATCTAAAACATTGCCTTGTGAAAAATTGCAAAAATGGTAATTTGCAAATTATGGTTTTTTTAAAAAAAGTAAAAGCTTTTTTTTAGCATGATTCTAAGGGAATTTTATTTAACTTATTTCCTTTAATTATTTGGAGCTGTATATTTCATATCCTTCAAATCTTGCTGCAAATGTTCTGCTAAAGATGTTGGTTTCCAAAAATGCCATAGTGAATCACTGTCATTTGGTCTGGGTACAAGTTCTTAATTAACTTTTTTAAAAAAAAATAAAGAAGCATAGTAAGGAAACATCATGAAAAAATATATTTGACTAAAGTTTCCACATATGTCTCAGGTCGTTGACTTACACACACATCTTTGACACCTGTGCCCTACAGGATTAGTGACTGTGTTATCTTAGGAATATTGCTATTCGAAAGAAGGGAAGCAGACAGTGATGTGCTGACACTGGCTTGCTGCAGCTTGTGAGAATCCATTGTTAAATTTTCAGTTTTCAAGCTGATTGACAGCTGAGGTCAGCCTCAGTGCCTAATGGACCAATCAGCTGTTCTGTAGCTAGGTAAATGGCACAACTATGGCAATGGAGCCAGGAGAATTGATTTTTAAACATTTAGGACCATACTCTTCTTTCTTTTTCTTTCTAGGTCCTCCCACATTTCCTCTAATGATGACACTTTCTCAGAGTAGGTATCTGAAGGTAGTCCTTCCTTCCATATCTTATTGAAAACTAGACGATAACCTGGCATTGCCTGGGTATTTATTTATTTATAGGGGGAAAATGTCTGGACCAAACATAATTTCTAATGTTGAATTTCCCCCCTTACCAGAGGGGAGCCCCCTTGTGGAGTATCGTGAAGCTGTTACCATGGCAAGTCCACTTCACTGCACAGTAGAAGCCATTTTACGGCAGTACAGTAAAAGTCATTCTAAGGCACAACCAGCTGTATCTTAACAGAACACACACTCCGAGGGGTTTTAGGGATTTCTTATCCCCACAGTATTTTTTTTCCAGAGAGTAAGTCATCTGTGTACCAAGTTTGGTTGAAATTGCTTGAGCCATTCCAGAGTTCTGCTGGAAAATACACACACAGCTGTTTAGATAGATAGATAGATAGATAGATAGATAGATAGATAGATAGATAGATAGATAGATAGATAGATAGATAGATAGATAGATAGATAGATAGA